TCTCATTTAAAAGTTCCTTTAGCTCACTGGTGATCCAGGGTTTGTTATTAGGGAAGCATCTTACTGTTCTGCTGGGGATGGTGTTGTCCACACAGAAGTTTATATAGTCAGTCACACACTCAGTCATGGCATTTATGTCATCTCCATGTTGTCATATCTGGCAGATATATTTTCATTGCTCAATGAGCTGAGCTTGAAACTACAAGGAGAGCATGATGACATTTTCTGCAATTGGAAAATTGTTTTTACTTTTCAGAAATACCTGAAGTTATGGCTTGCACGCCTCAACGGACAAATACCAAGCCACTATGTGTTTCCAACTGTGCTACAGCACATAGAAGAAAATGATGCCACTGACACACATGTAAGATATCTGACTGAACTTATTATGACACACCTTGTAGCACTTATTTATAGTTTTGAACATTATTATCCAAGAGAAAAATATGACATGTTGAGCAGCAAAATGTGGATTCAAAATGCCTTTGCCTTTTAAAGTCCAGAATCTCTGCTGGGGTTAGGACTAACTCCTGAAGAAGAAACTGAGATGTTACAGCTGAGCAGCAATCCAGTGCTTAAGAAAAAACATGAATCCATGCAGTTGTCCTCATTTTGGATAAGCATCTCATTTGAATATCCTGCCTTAAGTAAAGCAGGTACTTTGCTTCTTATTCCTTTTACAACAACATATAAATGTGAAGTAGGATTCTCTGTTCTCACAAAAATAAAGATGAAATACTGGAATATACTGAAGGATGCACCGGATATGCGTGTTGCATACAGTGGTCCCAAAATACAAACTTCTACTTTCGAAGGTGCTTCTTCAGTTTTTTGTTCCATTTGGGCAAAAATAAATAGGGTGAAATTTCATAAGATTTGAAAAATATTAACCACTGCTGCTCAACCCCAGATTTTGTTACATCTGCTTCAAGTCCCATTTTGAGGCATTCATCATCAACATAAATTACCTTGTCAAGAACCCATCAGAATGGGAGGATGACCCATCAATCTAGTCATCATGGCAGGTTCTATGAAGCATTAGGATGCCAATGACCAATTGTCAGATGTCAATGAATTTACTAAACAGGGAACTCATCCAGGATTACAATCAAATGATCAGCAGTGACAATACATGCTACAAGTTGTTGGATGGCATCTCTGTCAGTTCCTAGAAGTGAATAAAGTCATGACCAAATGTCACTCTTCACGACTGTTTGTTCCCACCAAATATGTGAACAATGACAATTATTTATTTTTGTTTTATTTATTTTATTTGTCTTGTAAGCCCATTTAAATGAGGGATGATAGTTGTCCATCCATTATCTTCTTTCTTTCAGGTTCATGTGGGGTTTCTGGTCAATCACTGTGCAAGGGGCAGGGTACACCCTGGATAGGTTACAAGTCCATYGTAGGGCCACATAGAAACAAACAAMCATACACTCACATCTAGGGACAATTTAGAGTTACCAATTTTGTTTTTGGTTTGTGGAAGGAAGCCAACCTGGAGAAAACCCACACATGCAAGGAGAGAACATGCAAACTTTCCCCAGAAGGGACCCTGGGCTGGGATTCGATCCAGCAACCTTCTTGCTGAGATGCATCTGCTCTACCAACTGAGCCACTATGCTGCCGTGTTGTTTCACTTTGTATTTCATATCTAAACAAGYATGTCAGCATGCACAAATGAGCAGTGGTTAGAAAAGTTGTATCGACACAAAATTTGGTACAACGGATTTTCTTTGCTAAATGAACAATTTTGTCAGGAAGCACCTTTAAAAAGTCACATTTTTATTTTTGGCATACTGTAGAGGACCACTCTAGTGTTGCATTATCATGTACACCAAACTGGAATACAATACTGAAAAACAAGCAGGCCCATCATTCACATTAGAAGAGCAAATGGACAAATCTTTGGTAAAAGACATTCCTTTTTGCACTGATACATATTTGTAAGACTTTCTGTGTTCAGATCAAGTGTTTAATGCTTCTATGTTCTGAATGTCTTGTTCTGATGTTGCCCAATGCTCAGTATTATCCAAGGTTAAATATATCCCATTCTATTTAAGAGTGAAAACAACGGAGAAATGATTATTTATCAACATTTTTCTGAAATATTTTGTCCAAGAAGAAGTGCAGTCAAATTGATGTTAAATTTTGAGATTCTTTTGTAAATGATTGAAACAATGTGACAATTAAGAGATAGTAAAATGTATAATATAAGTTTCTTTAAAAGCACAATTTTTTATTTTCAATAATGGTAAATAAAGCATAATAGAAAATGGGGTCACAATGTTTTCTTTTTCTAAATATGGGTCACCTAGAAAAAAGTTTGGGAACCACCGCTTTAATCCATAAAGCAGCTTCATTGTCCTCTGTTATGGACTAATTATCTATCTGTGTCACATGTTCAATGTTAATCTGTTTGTCCAGACAACAGGACTCCGCAACGGACTGACCTCTCTTGTTTGATAAGACACTCTTTGAGCTGGGAGCCC